GATACAAAGCTTGCCTAGTTATTCTTGGTAACAATCAGGTGGAGGGTCTTGATTATCAGAAGACCTTTGCTCCAGTAGCTAAGATGGTCACGGTGCGTGTATTTCTTGCTATTGATGCTGCTCGTATTAAGAGCTTCATTAAATGGATGTGCATAATGCTTTTCTTTATGTTGACCTTGATGAGGAAGTTTACATGAAACTGCATCCTAGTTTTCATTTTTCTACTCATGCTCTTGTATAACGTCTTAAGCGCTCCCTTTATGAGTTAAAACAAACTCCTCGTTGTTGGTTTGCCAAATTGGCCAGTGCATTGAACATGTATAGATTTTGTCAGTTCTCTCCGACCACTCATTGTTTTCTTATCATAATGGTCTGGTTTAGCTTCATGTTTTTGTCCATGTTGATAGATCTTCTTATCATAACGGAAATTCGCTTTGGATATTATTTTGAAGGTCGACTTGTTGGGTGCCAAGCCTTCTGGATTTCCTCTTGATTAAAATCATCAGCTTCCTCTTACTTCTGGCAATCCCTTGTTTGATCCCACTAGGTATCATCACTTGGTTGTTGTTTGATTTATGTGACAATTACTTGCCCTGAGTTATCTTACTCAGTGCACATGCTTACTCAGTTCATGCATAAGCCACTTTGTGAGCATTGGGATACTGCTCTTTGAATAGCTCGCTTTTTGAAGGGTAACCCTGGCTAGGGTATTTTGTTACGTGTGGACTCTGATCTTCGTCTGTATGGTTGGTGTGATTCTGATTGGGATGGTTGCCCTTTGACTTGTTGTTCTTTGTCTGACTGGTTTATCCAGTTAGGGACTTTTCCTGTTTCTTGGAAGACTAAGAAACAGCATACTGTGGCTCGGTCTTCGACTGAAGCTGAATACCGTGCTATGACTTATCACCTGTGAGTTGACCTGGTTGAAATCTCGTTTACTCTATTTTGGTCTCTCTTTTGCATCCTATACAGCTTTATTGTGAAAGTCAAGCTACTCTTCATTTTGTTGCTAACCCTATTTTCCATGGGCATACTAAGCATATCGAGGTTGATTGTCATTTTTCTCAAGATGATTTTCTCAAGGGCGCTATTTCTCCAAATTTTGTCACTACTTTTGTGCAGTTTGCTGATATTTTTACTAAGGCCTTGGGCAAACATGAGTTTGATTATTTTATTGGCAAGTTGGGCATCTAGAATCCGCATGCACTAACTTGAGGGGGGGTGTTACAGAGGTTAACATAATTGTACCTTTACAGTTTACTCATAGTAAACTTAGAACTGTAACTCTAGTATTTGTGCTCTATATTTAGCATATATTTTCTAGGACTAAATCATAATGCGATAAACCCAAATTAGGGTTTGTCCTTCTTGTCACTAAGTGGGCAATTTAGGAATTGATAATTTTCTTTGAAAGGAAGAAAACATAAAATTTATCGAAACATTTGCTACAATAGGCTACATTAATTGCACAAGATAATAATATTGATTCTAGAATTATTTTTCCTTTGTTTTTAAGTTATTCATTCTTTCATACAAATTTTTGTTGATTTCCACCAATATGAAGAATATGGAGCGGAAGGATTAATATCAAAAGCATGCGATATCTTCAGCTATGGAATTCTCTTAATGGAAGTTTTCACAGGAAGAAGGCCAAATAATGAAGTGTTTAGTGATAGCCTAAACTTAAAGAGTTGGTTGCTAATTCTATGCATGATTTGATCACTCAAGTCATTGATCCAAAATTGTTTACGAAAGGCCAAAATCATTCTACTTCCAATAAAATATTAGGGTTTGTATCATTGATCTTGAAACTAGCCCTAATTTTTGTTCACGAACCTCTCAAGGGGAGGCTTATTGTGAGTGAAGTTGATGATTCACTCCACAAGATCAGAAAGAGTTATGTTTTGCCTAATGGAAGTAAATAGAATGGAATGTAACTTTTTCTAAAAAAAACAATGAAGTATTATTACTTCGAAATGCTTAAAAATATGTAGTTCATTTCCCATTTCATTTTTTCAATAAACCTTTTCTTATTCAAGGTTAACTTTTCCACACATTTTTCGAAGTAAATTTCTATATTATGGTTAAACTAAGATTGAAACACTATTTTGTTAGTGCTAAATTAAAACAGAATGCAAACAAAGACGAACGTCCAGATAAATCTCTAGATGGCAATTTTAGGATATTCCGGCCGTCTTCACTGAAAAAAATGAGGAATATATATGTATGTATATATATAATCTAATTATCATCTCGATAGCTATTTCAAAATATCTGCAAATTACAATATATAGTAGTGTATTTAGCTATTGTTACATCAAATAAAACACAAAAACGTTAAAGAAAAGATTAATCCATCCAGTTATATATATGTCATTCCTATGATGTATATAGCTTACTTTTCTATCAATAATAAGGCCTAGAAAATTTATTCAAGAAAAATAAACATACAAGAAAGTAGTATGAAAATAGTGTTAACTTTTTGTCCAAAACGTTAACAGCAAATTTCTTGGATGCAAAATTATTTTACACGATAAAATGGAGTTAATCATTCATATTCTTGTTGCTTAATTTGTTTGCAAAGGATCTCTATTTGGTACATGTTAACCTTTAACGTGATTTTGAGGCTATTAATTGTGTTGATTTGCTATTCATGAATGAGAGCCTATTTTATTTGTATATATAGAACCTGACGTAAATGACCAAATCATCACGTTTAACAGTACCAATATTACATTTGCGATTTTCCTAGTTCTTTGTACCTTTATACAGATATGAGTGCATGGCTTCATTGTTTGATGATTATAAGGATGTTGTTGACGACTTCTTTGGTACTTTTTATAGGAAATGTTGCACTAATTAATTCATGTAGGAATAAATGTACCTTTTGGGTTCATTTTTGCCTAGCTACTCTAATCAATACATTAACACCCAGAAACGATAGTAATGAAAGCTACCACAGTTGAAACTTTTTTTGTTTAATACACATTAATGTAATTATCATCTCTAATGAATGCAAATACACCATTAAAAAAACTGTGAATACTATGAAGGAAAAATTTGGATAAGGGGCAGTGGAAACTAAATAATTAATAAAGAGGGCAACACTTTTGAATAATTTATATTAAAGGCATATCAATTCGTCTAAACAAACATAACTTTAAATTTAGCTTCTTTTCTTTTTTTTTAATCCAAAACATAATAATTACAGCAAAATTAAGACAGAAAATTCAACCAACAAACTCAGAAAAAAAAAAAAAGATGCATAAGAGAGAGTGTATAAACGAAGAAGAAGCCATAGGTGGCAACTCTTTATATTGACTTTATATTTAGGTATTAATAAAAACCCTACCATATGAATTTAAATACATGGAAAGTTAATTTAATTTGTTTTCTCATTTAGCCTGATTAATATAAAAATACTAAAGTGGTCAGTGAGCACATATACTTAAAAATAAAATCTTTTTTGATATTATTATATTTAAAAATTTCAAAACATGGAAGTAATTTACTTAACTCTAGTAAATATGTTGTATGCCTCATTTGAAGTACAAGTTGGGGAGGGGGGGGGGTTATTTGAAAGTGAAAAACAAAAAATTTACTTAGAAAAATAAAAAAATATTAACATGATATTTACTTAAAAATAATTACTTAAAAATATTAACATTATACAAAAAAATCTCCTATCAACAATTAAGAATTATTAACGTTTTATGTTTTAAGTCAACATAATATTTTTTTTCACATCCTTTAATACATTACATTTTCCATACTTATACAAAAATATAATAATCACTAAAAGATTTAATTTATGTGTTTAAAAATCAAATGAAAATAACAAGATGCTTTTATTTCAAGAGTTAATGTTTGTGTTGTTTAATTATTACGCCCCTAATACTAATTATTCAAGAGTACTACCTTCTTTATTAATTATTTAATCTCCACTGCCCCTAATCCAAATTTTCCCTATGAATTAGAAATTGTTAAGTCCATAAGTAAATCATGTGGCGACGTGGAAAAGTCAGGATAACCTTCACTAATGTGAAAATCATCCTACTATTGTAAGAGATGGACCATGCACCTGAATATCCAATGTTTGAATGGGAATGAAGTTTCTGCAGTAGAGACTAGAGTTAAGGCCCCTTCATGATCTTTTCTTATAGTTTAGTTTACAAGCTAGACTTTGTTTGATTAAAATAGTGCTAATTCTAAATGATGAATGTTGAAATGGAAATCCTGAATTCATGTAATGCTTTAACGAACAAGTGGTAAGCTAAATTTTTGTGTCTAAATTTTAAACTGCAGTTTAAGCACTAATTAATCTGTCAAGAGTTAAACTTTTTTAAACAAAATGGCTAAAGTTAAAAATCACATAATTAATAATTTTAAGCAGCAAAAAGTGTTATCAAACAAGTCATTGTAATCAGGTGTCAACAGGGCTTGTAAAGGGTATACGAGAATTGTTGTCTCGAAATTGGCAGATCTTATGTACTAAGTACATATATATATATATATATATATATATATATATATATATATGTAGAGGTTAATTTTCGTCCGGTAAAGTTCTTAGTAAATTCATTATGTTGTTTCTTGTGAAGTTTTATTGTATTTGTCAGAATATACTCCCACAATGTATGTAATTGTCTAATGCTTTGACAAGCGTCCTTAGGCTAAACTTGCCAAATTGTTTTAATGTATTTATTAGAGAAGAAGTAAGAAGAGAGAAAAAAAAATTTAAAAGCCGAAAAGATCAATTAAGAATAGGTATAGGATGAAACTTAAGTTAATTCAATTTTTTTGTCCAATTACCAACTAGTTTTGATTTTGGGCAGACTTATTTCCCTTATATAAGGGGGTTCTATAACCTAGTTTTCGGCATTCTCTCTACTAAATAATCTTGTGTTCTTCCAATTAGGTTTTTCCATCAAATATATTCCCAGCCGGCCACCGGAGAATCCGACACGAATCAAGAAAGAGAGAGAGAGAGAGAGAGAAAGATGAAGCTTTCAGTGAAGACTTTGAAAGGCACCCGGTTCGAGATCGAAGTGAACCCGACCGACACCGTAGCCGATGTGAAGAAAACGATCGAAACAATCCAGGGTTCCGACGTTTTCCCGGCGGCCCAGCAGTTGCTTATTCATCAGGGAAAAGTCCTCCAGGACGAAACTTCCACCCTGGCGGATCATCAGGTTTCAGAACAAACTTTTCTTGTCGTCATGAACAACAAAAACAAAGCCTCCTCCGCGCGGACTGCGCCTGTCGCTCCTCAGGCAACTCAACCAGCTCCGCCACCACCTCAAGCTCCGGCTCAGGCTCAGGCTGCCGCCGTACCGGCTCCCCAGGTGGCGGTTTCCTCCGTTGGACCTAATGCAAATCCATTGAATCTTTTCCCACCAGCGCATCCAGCTCCTCCTCAGGGGGCAGGAGTTAATGCAAATCCTTTGGATATTTTCCCACAGGGGCTTCCTGGTTTAACTAATCAAAATCAAAATCAAAATCTTCTTCTCGACAGCCAATCACTTCAGGCTTTGCTTCTTCAGCTCCAGGGTTCGGGCCTGGGGAACAACCCTCAATTCCTGGAGATGATCCAGGCGCTTCAGAACAACCCGGAATTGATGGGGACGCTGCTCCAGGCTGCTGGTGGTGGCGGTGGCGGTATTGATGGGTCACTGGACCCGATGGATGAGCCTTTCTACGGCGAAGACGGCGGCGCCGGGGTCTTGGCACAACTACTTGGTGGTGGTGGTGGTGGGGCAGTGCTTCCACAGCAGATGCAGGTGGCGGTGACGCCGGAGGAAGGAGAGGCGATTCAGCGGCTTGAAGCTATGGGGTTTGATCCCAATTTGGTTGTGCAAGTGTTTTTTGCTTGCAACAAGGACGAGGCTCTGGCTGCCAATTATCTTTTAGACCATATTGATAATTGATCTTATTTAAGATAGGATACGCCCACATCGTAGGTAGTATTATTATTTTCTTATCAGCAACCTTTTTGTTTTGGTTTGACAATTAAGTTTTGTTGTTTGATTTTATCAATTGAAAGTATCAGTTTCGTTCCATTGTGCCGTCAGTATTTTTGTTTTCCATTCTTTAGTTGTTTTGTTTGGATTTTTTAAATTGCATTAAAAGTAAATTTTCAAACCTGAATAAGGTAGTAAAATTTGGTCAATATCCATACGCAAATGAATTGGAATTTAAAATTTTATTCTGAGCTGCCTGAGTTGTTTGAGCACATTAATTAATATGTGTTCTTGAACACAAATTGCATGGTAAGTGGTAACAGCCAATCTTTTGTACTTCCTCTTGGCGTGAAAATATTTCTCAAATCTTAAATTGTACATTTACTGATTTTAGTATATTGTGTATACAACTTAGTGAATTATTTTTATGGAGTAGATGAAATACAATTATCTTGTGGTTTTAGCATTTATGTCTTTATTACTGCTAGTAGTTTATTATCTTGGTGTTGAGACTTGGCGTAGATTCTTCGCAGGCAGTCTATACTTTTGACCCCAAATGGACCTTTGACTTTGAGACTACGTGTTAGCTAGAGATTCAAAGTCCGAAGTTGGTTTGTTGTGCTAGTTAATTCGGTGAAATGAATTATGCTGCAAAATTTACCCGGTTATTATTCTTGATATCGGATGGGATTCAGCACATGAAAGTACAAGATTAATTCATTTAGACTTGCTTGAGAATCAGTTTTCTTGAGAATCAAGAAACAAATTGATTAAATGGTACAAGTGTGACACGTTTCTTGACTTGAGTTTAATCACGATATCAAGGAGAAAGGAATTTGAATGCAGGGTACCATTATTATATTAAAAGGTTATATGGAATCACAACATTCTTATACTTTGACTAGAAGTGATGGGTTGCTAGATCCCGCTCACTGCTTGTAACATATAATATTTATTTTCTCTCAGTACAAGTAGTAAATTGTTAGTTTTGTTTCATGTAACAAAATATACTGTGTTACTGGCAACATCATATGATCCTATTGGGTCACACTCAATGGTCAATTATTTGGATTATGGTTCTAAATATTAAATTAATAAAAATTAAGGTGTTAATCTGCAATTAAGTTAATGAAGGACATAATGGTGTTTATGTCTTTAGGGTTCACTATTATAAGTATATAGTAATAACCAGCCGTCAGTTAGACAGATGGTTCCTGTGAGTCGCAGGAGATCGTAAACCATGTCTCATCTTTTCCTTTCAACCGCTAGCACAGTTAGTGGAAGAAGGACTAAACGGTCTCGAGGATTAGACTAGATACTAATAGAGGTAAGCCACTTGGGTTGTTATTGATCCGGATATATCGATTTACCGGTGAAAGTATATTCAATACAATCTGTATTAGTAATTTGTATAGATCTGGTGGTGGATGTCAAACCAACAAAAATAAAAGATTCTACTCCTAACAAATTTAGCAGTATAGCAATGAGTAGAGTCGTCTCCTCAGGGAGCAAGGAAGTAAAAATATTTCTAATCAAAAGCAAAGTAACTAAATGGAAGAGATTTTTGGATTATAACTAATGAATAACAAAAATAATTTGCAAGCAATAAAAGATACTTTTGGAAAATCAATAATAAGAGCAACTCTAGTCAAAGGAATAATTTCCACCTTGATGTATCCAACTGATCATTAATGCAAAGATACGTTGTTAGAACCTCCTAACAACTCAGTCTTTTTATTTAACTACCAGTGGCTAAGAAACCTTCATTAATCACTCTATAGGCAAAAACACTACCTGGAACCTCCTAGGATTCAGTTTTCGACAAACAAAGACCTAACTCAATTTCTAACAAAAAAACCTTATTTCATTAAGAATTGATTATTTATTCTCACAACACAAGTAAACTACTTACCAAGTAATTATTTGCATTGTCTCTTCTAAGGAACAAATAAACCTTGTTGTTCAACAAATTAGTTATCTAGGAGAATTGAATGCTACCAGCTATTCAAATAATGCCAAATAATCATCAATACACATCAAAGAGAATAAATAAATACTCAAAATTCGTTGATGAAAAGCAAACAGTTAGATCTCACAATTGAATAACATCAAGACTTCAATAAAATTCTTTAACTAGAAAGAGGTTTAGCTGCTAATCATGGTGAAATCAACAACAGAAGAATAGATGTTTGACATTACAGAACTAAAATTGACGAAAACAGAGAGAAATCCTTGTCCGGAGCTCCAGCGGTCGCTCCCTGTGTTGTGCCTCTTCTCCTCTCTTTCACAATATGTGCAAATTACAATATATAGTAGTGCATTTAGCTATTGTAACATCAAATAAAACACAAAAACGTTAAAGAAAAGATTAATCCCTCCACTTATATATATGTCATTCCTATGATGTATATAGCTTACTTTTCTATCAATAATAAGGCCTAGAAAATTTATTCAAGAAAAATAAACATACAAGAAAGTAGTATGAAAATAGTGTTAACTTTTTGTCCAAAACGTTAACAGCAAATTTCTTGGATGCAAAATTATTTTACACGATAAAATGGAGTTAATCATTCATATTCTTGTTGCTTAATTTGTTTGCAAAGGATCTCTATTTGGTACATGTTAACCTTTAACGTGATTTTGAGGCTAAGATTAATGATTTTCGGGATATAATTAGATGTTTTGATTTTGGTATTAATTGTGTTGATTTGGTATTCATGAATGAGACTCTATTTTATTTGTATATACAGACCCTGACGTAAATGACCAAATCATCACGTTTAACAGTACCAATATTACATTTGCGATTTTCCTAGTTCTTTGTACCTTTATACAGATATAAGTGCATGGCTTCATTGTTTGATGATTATAAGGATGTTGTTGACGACTTCTGTGGTACTTTTTATAGGAAATGTTGCACTAATTAGTTCATGTAGGAATAGTTGTACCTTTTGGGTTCATTTTTGCCTAGCTACTCTAATCAATACATTAACACCCAAAAACGATAGTAATGAAAGCTACCAAAGTTGAAACTTTTTTTGTTCAATCCACGTTAATGTAATTATCATCTCTAATGAATGCAAATACAGCATTAAAAAAATTGTGAATACTATGAAGGAAAAATTTGGATAAGGGGCAGTGGAAACTAAATAATTAATAAAGAGGGCAACACTTTTGATAATTTATATTAAGGGCAGATCAATTCATCTAAACAAACATGACTTTAAATTTAGCTTCTTTTCTTTTTTTTTAAACCCAAAACATAACAATTACAGCAAAATTAAGACAGAAAATTCAAACAACAAATTCAGGAAAAAGATGCATAAGAGAGAGTGTATAAACGAAGAAGAAGCCATAGGTGGCTACTCTTTATATTGACTTTAAATTTAGCTATTAATTAAAACCCTACTTTATGAATCTAAATACTTGGAAAGTTAATTTAATTTGTTTTCTCGTTTAGCCTGATTAATATAAACATACTAAAGTGGTCAGTGACCACATATACCTAAATATAAAATCGTTCTTATATTATTATATTTAAAAATTTCAAAACATGGAAGTAATTTAATTAACTCTAGTAAATATGTTGTATATATCTTTTGAAGTACAAGTTGGGGAGGGGGGAGGGGGGGGAGGGGGTTATATGAAAGTGAAAAACAAAAATTTACTTAGAAAAATAAAAAAATATTAATATTATATTTACTTAAAAATATTAACATTATACAAAAAAATCTCCTATCAACAATTAAGAATTATCAACGTTTTTATATTTTAAGTCAACATAATATTTTTTTTCACATCCTTTAATACATTACATTTTCCATATTGATACAAAAATATAATAATCACTAAAAGATTTAATTTATGTGTTTAAAAATCAAATGAAAATAACAAGATGATTTTATTTCAAGAATTCATGTTTGTGTTGTTTAATTATTACGCCCCTAATACAAATTATTCAAGAGTACTACCTTCTTTATTAATTATTTATTCTCCACTGTCCCTAATCCAAAATTTTCCTACTATGAACTAGAAATTGTTAAGTCCATAAGTAAATCATGTGGCGACGTGGAAGAGTCAGGATAACCTTCACTAATGTGAAAATCATCCTACTATTGTAAGAGATGGACCATGCACCTGAATATCCAATGCTTGAATGGGAATGAAGTTTCTGCAGTAGAGACTAGAGTTAAGGCCCCTTCATGATCTTTTCTTATAGTTTAGTTTACAAGCTAGGCTTTGTTTGATTAAAATAGTGCTAATTCTGAATGATGAATGTTGAAATGGAAATCCTGAATTCATGTAATGCTTTAACGAATAAGTGGTAAGCTAAATTTTTGTGTCCAAATTTGAAACTGCAATTTAAGCACTAATTAATCTGTCAAGAGTTAAACTTTTTAAACAAAATGGCTAAAGTTAAAAATCACATAAATAAATAATTTTAAACAGCAAAAAGTGTTATCAAACAAGTCATTGTAATCAGGTGTCAACAGGGCTTGTAAAGGGTATATGAGAATTGTTGTCTCGAAATTGGCAGATCTTACGTACTAAGTACATATATATGTAGAGGTTAATTTTCGGCCGGTAAAGTTCTTAGTAAATTCATTATGTTGTTTCTTATGAAGTTTTATTGTATTTGTCAGAATATACTCCCACAATGTATGTAATTGTCTAATACTTTGACAAGCGTCCTTGGGCTAAACTTGCCAAATTGTTTTAATTTATTTCTTAGAGAAGAAGTAAGAAGAGAGAAAAAAAAAATTAAAAGCCGAAAAGATCAATTAAGAATAGGTATAGGATGAAACTTAATTCAATTCTTTTGTCCAATTACCAACTAGTTTTGGTTTTGGGCAGACTTATCTCCCTTATATAAGGGGGTTCTATAACCTAGTTTTCGGCATTCACTCTACTAAATAATCTTGTGTTCTTCCAATTAGGTTTTTCCATCAAATATATTCCCAGCCGGCGACCGGAGAATCCGACACGAATCAAGAAAGAGAGAGAGAGAGAGAGAGAGAGAGAGAGAGAGAGAGAGAGAGAGAGAGAGAGAGAGATGAAGCTTTCAGTGAAGACTTTGAAAGGCACCCGGTTCGAGATCGAAGTGAACCCGACCGACACCGTAGCCGATGTGAAGAAAACGATCGAAACAATCCAGGGTTCCGACGTTTTCCCGGCGGCCCAGCAGTTGCTTATTCATCAGGGAAAAGTCCTCCAGGACGAAACTTCCACCCTGGCGGATCATCAGGTTTCAGAACAAACTTTTCTTGTCGTCATGAACAACAAAAACAAAGCCTCCTCCGCGCGGACTGCGCCTGTTGCTCCTCAGGCAACTCAACCAGCTCCGCCACCACCTCAAGCTCCGGCTCAGGGTCAGGCTGCCGCCGCACCGGCTCCCCAGGTGGCGGTTTCCTCCGTTGGACCTAATGCAAATCCATTGAATCTTTTCCCACCAGCGCCTCCAGCTCCTCCGCAGGGGGCAGGAGTAAATGCAAATCCTTTGGATATTTTCCCACAGGGGCTTCCTGGTTTAACTAATCATAATCAAAATCAAAATCTTCTTCTCGACAGCCAATCACTTCAGGCTTTGCTTCCTCAGCTCCAGGGCGCGGGCCTGGGGAACAACCCTCAATTCCTGGAGATGATCCAGGCGCTTCAGAACAACCCGGAGTTGATGGGGACGCTGCTTCAGGCTGCTGGTGGTGGCGGTGGCGGTATTGATGGGTCACTGGACACGATGGATGAGCCTTTTTACGGCGAAGACGGCGGCGCCGGGGTTTTGGCACAACTACTGGGTGGTGGTGGTGGTGGTGCAGTGCTTCCGCAGCAGGTGCAGGTGGCGGTGACGCCGGAGGAAGGAGAGGCGATTCAGCGGCTTGAAGCTATGGGGTTTGATCCCAATTTGGTTGTGCAAGTGTTTTTTGCTTGCAACAAGGACGAGGCTCTGGCTGCCAATTATCTTTTAGACCATATTGATAATTGATCTTATTTAAAATAGGATATGCCCACATCGTAGGTAGTATTATTATTTTCTTATCAGCAACCTTTTTGTTTGTTTTGGCAATTAAGTTTTGTTGTTCGATTTTATCAATTGAAAGTATCAGTTTCGTTCCATTGTGCCGTCAGTATTTTTGTTTTCCATTCTTTAGTTGTTTTGTTTGGATTTTTTAAATTGCATTAAAAGTAAATTTTTAAACTGAATAATTATTTTGAAACAAAGAGAATAGTAAAATTTGGTTAATATCCATACGCAAATGAATTGGAATTTAAAATTTTATTCTGAGCTGCCTGAGTTGTTTGAGCTCATTAATTAATATGTGTTCTTGAACACAAATTGCATGGTAAGTGGTAACAGCCAATCTTTTGTACTTCCTCCTGGCGTGAAAATATTTCTCAAATGTTAAATTGTACATTTACTGATTTTGGTATAATGTGTATACAACTTAATGAATTATTTTTGTGGAGCAGATGAACTACAATTATCTTGTGGTTTTAACATTGATGTCTTTATTACTGCTAGTAGTTTATTATTTTGGTGTTGAGACTTGGCGTAGATTCTTCGCAGACAGTCTATACTTTTGACCCCAAATGGACCTTTGACTTTGAGACTACGTGTTAGCAAGAGATTCAAAGTCCGAAGTTGTTTTATTGTGCTAGTTAATTCGGTGAAATGAATTATGCTGCAAAATTTGCCCCGTTATTATTCTTGATATCGGATAATGGGATTCAGCACATGAAAGTACAAGATTAATTCATTTAGAGTTGCTTCGGATTTAAACATGGTTTTATCGAGTCTGTATCCAGTATACTCGGGAGCATCATGCTCCCCCTCCTTTTTTTGTACTTCTAGTTTTTATTGTACTTTTTTTTTACTTTTTCTAATAATCTTCCTATTATTTATAAGTTTAGTCCCTGCCACTTTTTTCTCTCTCTTCTAAAAAAAAATCTCTAATATTCAAATGATCATATCTCTCAATCCGTGAAGAATTAGAAAACGTGTTACACATGAATTTTATTGTATTCGTCGAGATCTATCCAACAAAATCCATGTCGAACATATTTTTCGAGTTTAAAAATGACTAAATTTCGATGGGTAGAATAAGATGGATATGTAGTTTAGTTTAGATTAAGATTCCTGTATTGCATATATCTCTTGATCCGTAAAGAATTAGAATACGAATTATACATGAAATTTATAGTGCTCGACGAAATCTATCCGATAAGATTCATGTTGAATATTTTTTTTTGAACTTTAAATGTATTTAAATTTTACGCGCAGAAATGAAGAAATGTATTTTTCGTTTTTCTTTGAAAAATGGTTATCCGTTGTGTTCCTACTGATTATCCAACCGGTTTGGACTGATTATCCATTCTGTTTGTACTTGTTATCCAATCATATTTTTCACATTCACTCTTCAAAAAAAAAAGAAAGAAAAAATGATTGGATAAGCATTGCAAACAATTTGGATAATCAATAGAAAATAATTGGATAATCAGTGCAACACGTTGGATAATCAGTGCAAAAAAGTTTGAAAATTATTTTCATAAAAGAGCAAGGAAAAAAAATACTGGATAACCACCACAAAGAAGTTGGATAATCAATATGAACACATTGGATATCCAGTTTAAGAAGATAGATAATTAACTTATTTTACATTCATATTATTGTGTTCCTTATATCTTTTGATCCGTAAATAATTATAACACGAATTATATATGAAATTTATAGTGCTCGACGAGATCTATCCGATAAGATCAATGTTGAATATTTCTTTTGAACTTTAAATGCATTTAAATCTTACGGGCAGAAATGAATAAACTGAAAAATGATTATCCGTTGTGTTCATACTGATTATCCAACCGGTTTGGACTAATGACCTATTTTGTTTTATCCAATCATATTTTTTACATTCACATTTCAAAAAAGAAAAAAATAAAAAAGAAGATGGATAACCAACTTAGTTTAGATTGATATTCTTGAATCGAATATTTGTGTTGGATAATCAGTACAAAGACGTTGGACAACCTTTTTTTGGAAAAAAAAAAAAAGGGAAAAAATGACTGGATAACCATTAGAATTTTTTGGATAACCATTGAAAATAATTGGATAATCAGTACAAACTGGTCGGATAACCAGTGCAAAAAAATTGGACAATCAATTTCACAAAAAAAAGGTTGGATAACCATCACCGAGAAGTCGGATGGATAATCAGTATGAACACATTGGACAGATTTTTTCTCAAAAGAGAAAAAAAAATTATGTTTGGATAATCAGTGAAAACGATTGGATAAGATATACAAAACGGTTGGATAATCAATATAACTGGACAAGGATTTTCGCAAAGAGTAGAGAAAAAAAATGGTTGGGTAATCTATACAGAAAAGTTGGATAATCAACACGAACGCGTTGGACAACTATTTCTTTTTTTCAAAAAATATAATAGAAAGAAAAACCAAATAGATGGATATCCATTACAAACAAGTTAGATAGGCATATAAAACGAATGAATAAACAATACAAACAAAATGGATAACCAGTTCAAACTGGTTGGATAATTAGTATAAACACAATGGATAACCAATTTAAAATAAGTTGGTTATCCATCTTGTAAAACTGGATATCCACCTTTATTCTGCCCATCAGAATTTAATCATTTTTTAACCGGAAAAAATATTTGATATGGATTTTGTTGGATAGACCTCGACGAATATAATAAAATTCATGTGTAACACGTTTTTTTAATTCTTCACGAATTGAGGGATATGCTCGTTTGAACATTAGAGATGTTTTTTAAAGGAGAGAGAAAAAAATCAAAGGGACTAAACCTGTAAATTATAAGATGTTATTTAGAAAAGTGAAAAAGAGTGTAGTAAAGACTAGTAGTGTAAAAAATAGGAGGGGGAGTATTGTGCCCCCGGGTATACTGGATAAATTGCCGCTTTATCGGATATATGTGCTGCCTAGATTCTTGTGGGAATAGCTGTGCTTTTTTTTTCATCTCACTCCACAAAACAATAGTTAGAAAAAAGTGTCAAAGCTTTTTTGGTCAAATTCATCATGTATTCGCTCCGATCCTTATTATAAGATATTTTGATTTGAACTAAATTACACTTACTATGTTTTCTTAGATTTAAAAAATAAACTCTAAAACTACATTCATTGTGTTCTTTTAATTATTAGAAAATATTTTTAATCTTTTTCTTTCAATTAAAAAAACATATTAGATGAAATTTAGGACAAATCAAAATATCTGATAATAAAGAGGGGAGGGTAATTACCATCTCTTAAAATCCCAAATGAAAGTAGATGGATTTTTTGTTTTCTCTTTGTGCAATATGTAAATGTACAAATCTATTATCTATTATTTATAGTACTTACTTAAAGCAACAAACACTAAGAACACGTGTTAACAAACACTAAGAACACGTGTTAGCACCAGAATGAAAATTTTCCTTCCATACGTTTACATACGTATACAATACAAATATGAAGCAAGGAAAATGAGACCCATGGCTTCATATATTTGTAGGAAATTTTAGTATTGAATGAATAAATACTACCTTAATTTTAGGAAGGAAATTGTATTCTTATGAGAAGAAAGTAGTCTGTAAAAATTAAAAAGATAGAAATCCCACAATTGACATCCACCATATCTTATACAGAAATAAGATTTACAAGAATCTCTCAATCCCTTTGATACATTCAAAATCAGATTTCAAATCAGACTTTGATTTTCAAAATACACAAGTAATCTTCCAAAAATCAAGCCGCCTAGAGGAGGGATGGACGGGCAACTCCTATTTTTGAAGCCGGTATCATATTCGCCATTGACATCGCACCAAGCTTGGGTTTTGAATGCGTTTCAGATTCGCTCGGATCCCGCACTGCCTGCTTAGTTTGAACGTAGGTAAACTCTTCTGTTTCTCTGTTTCCAATTCCCCTTCATCCGTTAGATGATTCCGATTTTATTATTATTTTTTTTTTTTGCAATTTTTCTCAACCACGATTCCTATGTTCTCAAACTAGATTTATTGGATGTTCTTTTCTAGATATGACTAATTTAAAATTTAGTGAATTCCAAGTTTCGACCCTATTCTGGATTTGATGACTATGGTGATGAGCGACATTGATATCTGACGATTTGGAGCAAATTTCCCTTTGCCTGAATCTTCTCATGCCAGATTCTCTTAGCTTGGTTTTTTTCTGGGCTGTTGCTTTTCTCCTGTTGGTAATGATTTTGTTTTCCATCTATTCATCTCATTTTGATTTGGCTGAAAATTTCATGGATGATTATGAGTTACTTGAGTTTTGGAATCTGTACATAGTTGATTTATAAATGACTTAAATCACTGAAGGGATGATGATGATGGGTTTGATCATTTGATCTATGTACGGATGATTTCATGCACAACAACTGGTAATTGAGAATAAAGTTTTTTGGTTTGATGAAGATGTTGTAATTATGTTTTGTTCACATCCTTTAATAGAGGACTTTTGGTTTTAATATTTTGTTTCATGTAATTGCTCAAATTGTAGATTATTTCAAATGAAGAAGATCTGATCTCTTCTGCTTCCGTTAATTTATGTTCTGTATATGTCTTCTATTATGTATCATAAATCTAAATTCAAAAGAAATCATTGAAATTGTGAAGGGCTGAGGATGACTTTTGGTGGATTTTCTCTCCATGGATAGTGTTGTTAAAATTTCAGTGGTTATAGAGTCTTTTTTTAGTTTGTTAACTTCAATTGAACCTCTAATTTCCTGCAACTTCATTACTCAAAGAGATGTAGCCCGGGTTTTCTTTTTGCAAATGGGCATATTTTAAAGATCAAGACTCCTGATCAAATTGAGGGAATGAGAGAAACTAGCCGAGTTAGTTATTTTTTCTTTGTCTACATCTTTTTTTAGATTGTAAATGGTGTAATTTTTGTTTTCATTTTTAGAAAAAAGTCTGAATGTTATCTGTTGGTTTTTAAGTTACAATGAGGTTCTATCAAAATTGTGATTGTATGTAGATGAATGTACTAAGACTTAGGATTTGCTATTAATAAATGGAATTCCAAATATCACACTTTAAACTGATCAATCTGGAAAATATGGAACGAAAAAAAAATAGAAGTCTTGACACTAATCTCCTTATTATTCTTAATCTCTGTGGAATCTGAAGATTATGTATATTTTTATTTTTCTAATGTTGCCATGATAATGTTGAAAACTGGCTCAAGCTGTTTTGGATTTCCATAAAAAAAATTGGTAAGAAAGAGAAATGTGTTGTCCATGCTGTTGCTGGTGATTTAAGTATTTGAAGTTGTTAATGACCTCTACGATCGTAACTGTTGGTTTTAAATTTTTGTACTCAGGCAGCAGCTATAGCTCTTCAATTTTTTTGCTACAAGTTTGCTCACTCTGAACTCTGGAGATTTGTATTTATCTATTGCAGGCATGCTAAGGTAAGTTTAATCAACAAGTTTTTCCCTTTAGAAATCGGGTCCTATTTTACCTATGCAAGAAAAATCAAATGTTTGATATTGCAACCAGTCATTCGTTGTAAGAAAATGTCAAGTGGAGGTTTTATCCACTTATTGATTGTAGCTGCATCAATCATCTGTATTTATAGATTTTGTCACTTGCGAAATAAGAACCAACAAAATTGATATTGCTAAATGTTTAGTTTAAATAAAATTCAGATCACTTAGATGCCCAGTACCCAACAAATACCTTCTTTTAAGTAGATAACATGAAGCACAATTTTTTCGGATTAGCTATGACAGTATAAAGGGGACCTAAATAGCGTGTTTGATGTAGCCGAACATAAATCGATCTGTTTGAACTTGGTGTCCAATTCCCGATTTTCTAATCCCAGAATTATTACCAGGTCTAAAAACGACAAAAGCCTTGGCCTTTTAAAGACATGTGCATTTGTTAATCACTCTGTTTAACTTATTGTTATCCTTCATTTCTTACATATGTGTTTAGTTCTTGATGTGCATCTTATGATGATTATTGTATTGTTGGTAGCTGTAATAGGTTGGTCTTTTTTTAGTAATAATCAGTTCAGGGAGACAACTAAACAAATTGTTGTGTGGAACCTTGCAATTTTGAAGTTTGTGGAGATACCATTACCTAACATTTATCCAAGTTTAGACAGATACTTGGTTGATTTTATGATTGCAGGGACTGGATCATAAAGTGGTCAAAATTGTGTCCCCAGAAGGTAGTAATATGGCTCCTCCAGTAACTGGGTGTATTGGCTTACTCAGGAGGAAGACTATGGGAGTATGTTCGTGGGGTTTAATTTGAAGAATGAAACTTTTAGCGTGACATATATCTGGCATAAGATTTAGCTGGCCAACTGCTGCTTTGATTTTTTGTTCTTATAATTTTCTTTTCACAGGAAGTATACAGAGTTAGACCAAGACAATATGATTTTATATTGTTGCAAATTTTCAATGTTGTGTATTTGTTATGGGGTTAAAGAGCAGAGTTCATTTCTCAAGTTGTATATAGATGTAACAATTTGATACTACAACTATGCATCTTTTCTTTCAAAATTTTAGATGAATGAATCTGCACATTGTTATTTCTGTTGGCAGATTGTGCAGTTTGCGATCAGGGAGGTGGTTGCTTGGTGAAACATAAACTTTGAGAAGGAATAACTTTTTGTGGACATAGTTTATTATTATTATTTTTATTATTATTATTATTATTATTATTATTATTATTATATATAATGTATGAAAAGATTTTTTGATGATTTGTTCTTTTAATTTAACTGACCTAGAAAATAGGCGGCCGCTCGGGCATCCGCCTGGGCCAAGCATCTAGTATATATTAAAGCAGAGTTCTTAATCGACACGTATCGCCCAAGGAGCAAGTTTAGCTAATTGTGCCACGTGTCGTCAAAAAAATTTTCCTTCATTAAACAGTTAAAATTTTATTACTCATACGTAAAATTGTTAAATTGAATTAAGTAATTAACCAATAGTTAATTTCAAAAAAAAAAAAACACGTCTTTGGTAATTATTGACAAATATATGACATATAAGGAAACATTAATCATCAAATTAATAATTGTATTAAGAATACAGTTTGAAAATATGTTTGGATACATTAAACGTAAGTTACTATTATTTTTCAGATGATTTTGTTTGATATATTTTCCAAAAATTAAAAGATTAGTTACCAAAAGAAAAAAAGATTGTTACCAAATGACTATATTACGAATAGAATTCGAAACCAAGTCTACCTAAATTACAAGTATGTTAATATTATTTCTTAGATTATTGGTATATTTTCCATAAATAAAAAGAGACTACTTACCAAAATGAAGAGATTATTTACCAAATATTTATACGAGTGCAATTCGAAACTAAATCTGGATACATTAAACATAAGTTGATAATATTTTCTGATGATTCTGTTTGATAATATTTTTCAAAAATAAAAATAGATTAGTTACCAATAACAAAAAAATATATTTGTTACCAAATAATTATATTGCGAATACAATACGAAACTAAGTCTGGATAAATTAAACGTATGTTCATATTATTCTTTCAAATTATTCCATTTCATATATCTTTCAAAAATAAAAAAAGATTAGTTACTAAATAATTATACTACAAATACAATTCGAAACCAAGTCTATATACATGCAAGATAGGTTAATATTTTATAGATGATTCCATTTAATATATTTCTCAAAAAATAAAAAGAGATTAATTTAAAAAAATAAAAGGAGATTAGTTACAAATAATTATGTTATGAATACAATTTGAAAACTAAGTCTGGATTCATTAAATTTAGATTAATATCATTTCTCAAAATATTTTATTTGATACATTTCCAAAAATAAAATGAAACTTATTACAAAAATAAAGAGATTAGTTAACGAATCATTATATTACGAATACAATTCAAAACTAAGTCTAAATATATTAAATGTATATTAGTATTATTTTAAATGATTCATTTGATATATTTTTTTAAAAAAAAAGTTATAAAAAATATAAAGATTAGTTGCCAAATCATTATATTACAAATACAATTTGAAATCAAGTTTAGATACATCATACATATGCTAATATTATTTTTTAAATAATTTCATTTGATATATTTTTCAAAAATAAAAAAAAGTTTAATTTCATAACTAAGGAAAAAGTTATGAGTTCAGATAAATAAAATGGGACCTGCACCCGTCAAGCACAGCATGTTTTGCTTTAAAAAAATACTAAGGAAAAAGTTTGGAGTATGGATAAGTATTTCAAAATTATTTATTAGTTTTTTAGTCATGGTTTTTTCCCTCTATTTTTTTGTGCTTTATTTACTTTTGTTGGAATTTTTCTTTTTTTTTTAATTTTGCGTTATGCCTAAGAAAAGATTATTTATAATATTTGATTCAATTACTACAAGTAAACAATATATGCTTTTCAGTCAATATATTTTAAGAATATACATGATTTAATTTCTTTTGTTGAAAATAACTTTTATATACTTATATCCCTAAAAAGTAGGATAGTAGACAATTGATCATATTAATTTATATTTAGAATTTTTTTTATATATACTATCACTCCTAAACAAGAAGCATATTAGATAGTTGAATATATTAATTTGTATTTTAAAATACCCTATATGGCTAAGAAGTACTTGTTCAAAGTGATAACGGTATTGGATTAAGTTAACTACAATTCATGATTAAATATGTGCATTGGCATGTAGTAATGATTGTTGGGAGAGGTTTGTCTTCCAAAAGTGACCCGATTCGAAAACGGATTAGTTGGAACAATGATTTCAAACACCGACTGCAATATTTACCAAAAAAAAAAAAAAAAAAGAAATATCATGTGACGCTCTTAAAATTGGACTCCGAATGTCTAATATACCAAAAAAACAGAAAAACTAAAACATGTGACACTTTTTATAAAAAAATAATGATATATTAATATTATTCTAAAATATAATAAAATACACATAACGTGCGGGTATAATACTAGTAATTGCTAATATTAAACTTCAAGTGTGGCTTACATTCGAGTCCATAAGTAATCGGCAGACAAGAGGATAACCTTAGAAGTGGTTGTCGCATTCGTGCCTTTTCTGGGCGACCAACGAATAATTTAGGCTGCAATGGGTTTTAGATTTGCTGACACAAATAAAACTGCTTCAAGAATTTTTTATTTTTTTTTTTTTAGCAAAGCACATTCTTATATTATTTTAAGCATATAAATTGTTTGCAAAATATGACATGACAATTGATACCACGTTTATGGTTTGTCCCAGCTTCTGTGGTCGCAACTTTTGACTTTACCAACTATAATCATTAATCATTTAATGGAAGATATTTAATATGAGTTGGAACTCCAACACTGGCGTTCATGTAGTATCAATTTTGGTTCCTTCACAGCGCAAATCCCGAATATTTTTTCATGATGGAGTTAGAAATTTCATTGAAAGCTTTACAATATTTAAAAGTGTGCACAAAAATAAAAATTAAATGCATTACTCCCTATTAAAAATTTTACATATCTCTATCAAAGATAATAAAGATAGTGCGAATGCAACCACACCTGTAACTTTCCCTGGCTTCATCGTTACTGTATCTTTTCATATTCAGATTTTGACATCTCCAACTTCTGTTATCTCTTACTCGTGGGAATTTAACTAATGAATAGGATTGATTATTTGGCCGAGACTCTTAAACAAGCAAATCCCGTGAATTGAAGATGTAATAAATGTAAAAAAAAAAAAAGAAAGAAAGACGTAATAAATGAACGACACCAAGATATGTAACTTCATACTCTCTCCATTTCAAAATAAGTGTCGTTTTGGCAAAATAGAGAAATTTCAAAATAAGTGTCGTTTTCAGATTCCAATGCATTTTTTTGTCAAAAATTTCCAAACATACCCTCAAAAGAAATAATATTATTGGTGAGCATTTATTTTAATGGGGTTGGTTGAGGATAATCTAATAATTTAATTACCTTATTTAATGTTTTCTTAAATTATATGCAAACTCTAAAATGACACTTATTTTGAAACGGAGGAAATGTCTACTTGAACCACCGGAATTTAAAAATCATGATTGATTGATTAATTATTGCAGCACAACGAGATAACTCAAGTCAACCCGAGTGTCATTTAAACTATTATAATGAGTATATATTGACAGTCTAAATCCTAACTATAACACGACAATTTGTTGTCCGTATGGACAAATGACCCAAATCAATCTCGAATATCTATGAATTATGACAATGCGCGAGCTCGAGAAAACAAGGTAAAAAACACGGAGGAAGGGAATAAAGAAAATGGATATGAAGTCTAAACACAAGTACAACATAGAAGCACAATTCATAGCCTCTTTTCCATCAATAATGGGAAGCAAATGTTTCCATCAAAAATAAAAACAAAGATTACATCAGTACTAAGAAATATTTTCAACTGGGGGTTCGTACGTAGCAAAATTGGTTTAGAAAACCAAATCAAAAATGATGTTGATTTTTTATAGAAACAAAATGGTCAACCAAGATAACCTTTATTTTTGATACCGTAGTTGACATAAGAGAACCCAGGTGTCAACGTGTATTTTTCCTAGTTGACGAGGTTGGTTTTCCGCACATGTGAAAATCCATTAGTGTTTGTCACTCATGTAATAATTTTATAATTATAGTATTTTTGGCGTTTTTCTTTCTTCTTAATTATAAAAACACAAAAATTAATTAATTTGTATTAAATGATGCCTTGAATTCTTAGGCTTTGGGCAAATTAAATCTATTTTGGTCTTGGATAGTTTCATTATTCTACTTGTATAATGTTGTATTAGGCTTGAAGTTAAAAAACTCATGGGATTAGACTTCCTTTCGTATGACAAATCAGATGTCGGCCACAGATAATAGTGTTCTGTTCCAATCAGTTCTTCTTAAGATTCAGAGCATTTTAAAAACTGCATGACGTACATCCTTACATCAAAACCAAGAATCTTGCTGATGTTTTTGTTGTTCACTAAATCCCAAACATGTATATATATAACCTTGCCAGTTCCAAAACTACCTTAATTTCAGACCAAAAAATTCCTCATTACCGACAATGGAAAGTAGTGAAATTTACAGCATTAGTAATTTGCACCTGAACAGTTCTAATCTATGGAGGAACAGTGGACCTGATGTGTTTTCAAAATCTTCCCGTCAAGAAGAAGAAGATGATGAAGAAGCATTGAAGTGGGCTGCTATAGAAAGGCTTCCCACTTATCTTCGTTTAAGGAGAGGGATTTTTACTGAAGAACAAGGCCAGCTTCCCAGAGAAATCGATGTCAAACATCTCAGTCCTGCGGAGAAGAAACTCATCTTCGAGAGACAGCTTAAATTTGCAGAGGAAGACAATGAGAGGTTCTTGTTGAGTGTTAAACAAAGAATTGACAGGTAAATTGAAAAAAAAAAAAAAAATTACAACTTTATCTTATCTTCCTTTTTAAATTCCCACCCCCCCCTTGTGGGGTGTATCGGGTATGATGATTTGAATTTCGGGTTCTTCTTGAATTTGGTTCTTAAAAAAAAAAAAAACAGAGTTGGAATTAATCTTCCTACTGTTGAAGTTCGGTTTGAGCATCTTAGTGTGGAAGCAGAAGCTTATGTTGGCAGCAGGGCTCTGCCTACATTACTCAATTTTTGTGCTAATATTTTTGAGGTTAGTGCAATTTTTCGTGCTCAGTTTTTACTCTCTCTTTTTTTTTTTGGCTTTTAAGGTCACTTTTGATGTATATTTGAACTACTTTTGAAGGGTTTGTTGAGTTATGTTCACGTTCTTCCAAATAAGAAGAAACCGTTTCCTGTTCTTCATGACATCAGTGGAATCATCAAGCCTGGGAGGTAAAGTTTATAGTACTTATAGTTCTAGCTGATAATCTGAAGCATGGTTTCTCGAAATTCGATCAATGGTAAATTTTATATGGGTTTGCAGATTGACCTTGCTTCTAGGCCCTCCGAGCTCTGGAAAAACAACTTTACTCTTAGCTTTGGCTGGAAAACTCGATTCTGATCTTCGAGTGAGAAAAATTTCTACCTTATGTTCTTGACAAATTTATGAATTTTGTGTGGTAAATTTGAGCTGATGGTTTAAATCTTAATTCTGGGACAACAGGTTTCTGGGAATGTTACATATAATGGTCATGGATTAAAGGACTTTGTTCCAGAACGGACATCTGCTTATATTAGTCAACATGATCTTCACCTGGGAGAATTAACAGTCAGAGAAACCTTGGCTTTCTCTGCAAGATGTCAAGGAGTTGGAGCTCGCCACGGTTTGTTCAATCTCCGAATTTTTTTGTTCAGTGTTCTTCCTTCAATTTTTGCTTTGCATCATGAAATTCATTTCATTATGTTAATCACCAGATATGTTGGAGGAATTGACAAGGAGAGAAAAGGAGGCCAATATTAAGCCAGATCATGACATTGACATCATAATGAAGGTAGGAATTGGTTTATATCTGTTTCACATAACATGAATGTTTCTTTACTGAATGTACTGATACTTATTCACCTTGTAGGCTGCGGCGCTTGAAGGTCAGGAGGCCAATGTTAAAACTGACTACATCATGAAGGTAATCACGCCTCGCCTCGATGACATTTCAGGTCTCTTTAGCTATTAGGTTTGTAAGTTGTAACACTAAGAAACTGGTTGAACCATTATCCTGTTTTTGCAGATTTTGGGGCTTGAAGTTTGTGCTGATACCATGGTCGGGAATGAAATGATACGTGGCATTTCTGGAGGACAGCGAAAGAGAGTGACAACAGGTAAATTACCTTTGCTTTTCATGTCCAACAAAATATAGCTGACCATTGTCAAGTGATGAAGATAATTTACCATTGCTTAAACAATAAGACTAATCTGGCAGATGTTGAACAGGTTGAGGTCTCATTGGATTATCTGACATTATTTATGTAATGCAGGGGAGATGATGGTTGGAGCATCCAAAGTTTTTCTGATGGATGAGATATCTACTGGTCTTGACAGTTCAACAACTTATCAGATTGTCAATTCAATTAAGCAGTCCATTCACATATTGCAAGGAACTGCAGTGATTTCACTTCTGCAACCTGCACCAGAAACTTATGATTTATTCGATGACATAATTTTAGTGTCGGATGGTCAAGTTGTGTATCAAGGGCCTCGAGAACATGTGCTGGAATTTTTTGAATCAATGGGATTTAAGTGTCCAGCAAGGAAAGGAGTGGCTGACTTCTTACAAGAAGTAAGTTTTGCATCGCAATGACTTCTTTTGCTAATCCGAATTAATATCTGTTTGACATTTTATTGAACCTTTTTTTTTTCCCGGAAACTTCAGGTGACATCAAGGAAAGATCAAGAGCAGTATTGGATGCACCGAGATGAACCCTACATTTTTGTTCCCGTGTCCAAATTCGCTGAAGCTTTTCAATCATTTCATGTCGGAAGGAAGCTAGCTGATGAACTGGCTGTCGCTTTTGATAAATCCAAGAGTCATCCGGCTGCTTTAAACACTCAGAAATACGGAACCAGCAAAATGGAACTTCTGAAAGCCTGCATGTCTAGAGAATTCCTGCTCATGAAGAGGAATTCGTTTGTTTATGCATTTGCCATGTTTAAAGTACGAGCTTAAGTTCATATGAATGTTCTTGCAGCAGTTTCCACTTCCTTAAATTTGTAGGTTCAGTTGCATATATTTCATCTAATTGTTGTGCTTCAAATTTCAGCTCATCTTCATGGCAATTATAGCAATGACTTTGTTTCTGCGAACAAAGATGCATAAGGATACAGTGACTGATGGAGTGATTCTCATGGGTGCTCTCTTTTTTAGTCTTGTGATGATTATGTTCAATGGGTTCGCAGACCTTTCCCTCACCATTATAAGGCTTCCTGTCTTTTACAAGCAACGAGATCTTCGTTTCTTTCCTGCATGGGCATATGCTCTTCCAACTTGGGTTCTCAAAATCCCAATTACTGTTGCAGAAACTGCTATTTGGGTCGGTTTGACCTACTATGTCATTGGATTTGATCCAAATACCAGCAGGTAGCATCACTACTGATGTCAAACCAATCGTTTGATTTCTTAGTTCCTAAAAATTCCACTTTCAAGCTTACAGGATTTATATTTGATGCAGGTTGTTCAAGCAGTATCTTTTGCTTGTATGCATTAGCCAGATGGCTTCAGGACTATTTCGCTTCATGGGATCAGTCGGAAGGAATATGATTGTTGCAAACACATTTGGATCATTTTCATTGCTTGTAGTTCTTGTATTGGGTGGATTTGTCTTGTCACATGGTAAGTAATTTTATCAAGAAATGGAAATAGACATTTGCACTGATACTGCCTTTTCTATTTGTTTTGTAATAAGTGACAATGACAAAATCGACCATATTGTTTGATTCAGATAACATAAAGAAGTGGTGGATATGGGGTTACTGGATCTCTCCTATGATGTATGGACAGAATGCTATTGCCGTCAATGAATTTCTTGGGAATAGCTGGAACAAGGTAAGCATTCTTTACTTTTCTCGTTTTCCTTGAAAATTATTGAGTGACTCAAATTTTTAAAACTTTGTGTACAGCATTTCTCACTAGTGCAAGAAAATGTTGCAGGTTCCTGCTGGACTAACAGAACCATTGGGGGTATCGGTCTTGAAATCTCGCGGCATTTTTGCAGAACCACGATGGTATTGGATTGGAGTTGGAGCTCTGATTGGCTACATTTTTCTTTTCAATTTCTTGTATACCTTGGCTCTAACCTATCTGAAACGTAAGTGTTGTTTGCTAATTATCTTTTTCTTCAATGTCTTGATCTGATCCGAAGGATTAAGAATGCAACTTACTTGAACAAATCTCATGCAGCACTTGATAAACCTCAGCCAGTTTTCTCTGAGAAAAGTTTGGCAGAGAGAAATGCTAGTGTGACAGGCGAACTTATTGAACTATCATCAAGGGGGAAGAACACACTGACAGGTTCGCTATTAGCTTAATTGTGCATCTTTCATCTATTCAAAATTTTTATTGACACAAAAAACAACTCTAAAATGCAGGCCAAAGAAATGAAGGAAGAAGTTTATCATCAAGGTCTGCCACATCTAGAGTAGGCGGCGGTAGTGAAGCTGTATCAAGCATGAAAAGGGGAATGCTTCTACCTTTCGAGCCTCTTTCATTAACTTTTGATGATATTAGGTATTCAGTCGACATGCCCCAGGTTAGTTGCCACGAAAATTTATGGTCTCACACTCTTTTCCATTTTCAGAATGTTTTTCAAAACTTTGCTCAGAGATGAGAAAATCTATATGTTTGAGAACATAACATTTATCGTCAACCAGATAAATGCTATGATAAGAGCAGTTCATGATTTTACTCTTTTTCTAATGCTAATGTTCCTGATGATGAATAATAGTTTGGCATTTAAATCATTAATCGGCTCTTTTCAGGAAATGAAAATTCAAGGTTTTACAGACGACCGGCTTGAGCTTCTGAAAGGTGTAAGTGGTGCTTTCAGGCCAGGGGTTCTGACAGCTTTGATGGGTGTTAGTGGGGCTGGTAAGACAACTTTGATGGACGTCTTGGCTGGCAGAAAGACTGGAGGATATATGTCCGGAACCATCACAATATCTGGATATCCAAAGAAGCAAGAAACTTTTGCACGCATAGCTGGTTACTGTGAGCAAACTGATATTCACTCTCCACATGTAACTGTGTATGAATCTTTGATTTATTCAGCATGGCTAAGGTTACCTGATACAGTAGATGCTGGCACCAGAAAGGTAGTTTGCATGATCGCAAAACTTGAAAATGTCTGCATTTCACCTCTTGAATGAAATATGACAAACTAAAAAAACATTGCAGGTGTTTGTTGAAGAGGTCATGGAGCTTGTGGAGCTCAACTCTTTGAGAGAAGCACTTGTTGGCTTGCCAGGTGTAAATGGACTTTCAACTGAACAGCGGAAAAGGCTAACCATTGCCGTTGAGCTTGTTGCTAATCCATCAATAATATTTATGGATGAACCCACCTCAGGGCTTGATGCCAGGGCAGCTGCAATTGTGATGAGAACTGTTAGGAACACGGTTAACACTGGTCGAACTGTTGTTTGTACCATTCATCAGCCTAGCATTGACATATTTGATTCTTTTGATGAGGTGATTCAATTGGCTGTTTCTGATTTCGCACGTTCTTTGTTTTTAAGAGTGAATTAAAAAAGCTAAAAACTATTCAATTCCCTGCAGCTTGTGCTTCTTCGACGAGGAGGTGAAGAAATATATGTTGGTCCACTAGGCCACCACTCATCTGAGCTCATAAAATATTTCGAGGTTAGGATCCAAATTGTACCTAAAAATCAACTTCCCTTAACATAGGAATGCATACATCTATATGATCTTTTCTTCTTCATTTGGCTTCCAGGGTATTGAAGGAGTCAGCAAAATTAAAGATGGCTACAATCCTGCAACCTGGATGTTGGAAGTTACTTCGGTACAACAGGAGTCAGCTCTAGGTGTTAATTTCACCGAGTTGTACAAGAATTCTGAACTCTACAGGTAGGCATTTGATCTTGTCTTGCTGCTCGTCTTTACTTCAGCATTTTGACGATTTCTGTAAAATAACAGAATACGACCTGATCATCATCGCTATATATCTAACTGAAATGGGAGCAGTTTTACTGTCAGAATTTTTGCCAAAGCTGAAATGGAAGTGTTAAAAAAAAAATTCACTTCCATTGATTCTTTCGTAATCCGTACTGACCAATGTTGCCAATGTTGTCAAAATCAGGAGAAACAAAGACTTGATCAAGGAACTGAGCACACCTGTTCCAGGCTCGAAAGATCTGTACTTCAAAACACGTTATTCGCAGCCATATTTAACTCAATTCAGGGCTTGCCTGTGGAAGCAACATTTATCATACTGGCGAAACCCCAAGTACACTGCAGTGAGGCTAATTTTTACAACATTCATTGGTTTGCTGTTTGGAACGGTGTTCTGGAAGCTTGGCTCCAAAAGGTAGTTAATTTGAAAGAAAATAAAAAAGACTGATTTACTTACAATATCCAATTCTCAATGCCAATCATTAAACCATCTGTTGTAAATTAACCTCAGGAGAAAGCAACAGGATCTGTTCAATGCCATGGGATCCATGTACGCTGCGGTTCTGTTTACAGGAGTACAAAATGCAACAGCTGTCCAGCCAGTTGTTGCCATTGAAAGGACAGTCTTCTATCGCGAGAGAGCAGCCGGGATGTATTCGTCTCTCTCATACGCTTTTGGACAGGTATGATTTCCACCATTAACAAGGGAATGCAAAGATTTCCCCTGAAATGATCATCCTCTGTGCAAACATGAAAGAGTAGTCCCTTGCACTTCTTTTAGAGTGTTCCATCTTTGTTTGATTGAATGTTCATGGATTTTTCATGCAGATTGTGATTGAAATCCCATATGTGCTAGTTCAAACACTAATATACGGCGTCTTAGTATACACGATGATCGGATTTGAGTGGACAGCTGCAAAGTTCTTTTGGTACATATTCTTCATGTATTTCACTTTGATGTACTACACAACTTATGGAATGATGACAGTGGCTGTTACTCCTAACCAACAAATGGCTGCCATTGTTTCGTCCGGGTTCTACATCTTATGGAACCTTTTCTCAGGATTCCTTATCCCAAAGAAAGTAAGTTCTCGTCTTCTCGATTTACCTGTGTCTGTTTTACCTGTATCGCGTCATTCACTAACTCATTTCACTCGTTACAGAGAATTCCGGTGTGGTGGAGATGGTACTATTACATTTGCCCTGTGGCTTGGACACTGTATGGTTTGGTAGCTTCACAATTTGGAGACATCAAAGAACAAATGGTGGATACAAATCAGACAGTGGAAGAGTTCATAAGGAATTACTATGGGTTTCGACATGATTTCGTTGGATATGTGGGAATCATCATTGTTGGAATAGCCACTCTTTTTACCTTCATTTTTGCCTTCTCAATCCGAGTATTTAACTTCCAGAGAAGATAATTTCTTCAAAGTAGGAATCAAATACATCAAACACTGACGCTTAGTTTCATCGTATGTATTGTGTACATATGTATTAGTTCCTTATTCAATTGAGAATTTACCATTATATACTAATTTTTTCCCCCTAAAGTATCGTATCCATTTAAAGTTAAATTTATTATTATGCTAATGAGACATTCGTATCCAAAAAAAAAAGAAGTGAGAAGATCTGATCATATCATTATCATTCTTGGTAATACCCAACCGTGCTGCGAGGGTTTTGGCTGGGTGCATGATTAGAACATGAAATCATTGGAAGAATTTACCTAATTGAATATGAATTAGTTAGGGCAGTAATTTTTAATATGAGAGGAAATATATTTCTTCTTAGTATTGCTTATTTTCGGATGCAATGTAATAGTTTAGGTATTTTATATTTTATAATATACAGGTACCATTTTCAAAAAAAAAAGGGAAAAAACAGAAAACGTCTATCAACATTTTAATTTGTGAACTGTACTAAAAATAATACTCCTCTGTCCCATAATTATTGTCCAGTTTTACTAAAATGAAAGATTTTATTTTTGGTCAAACTTAACTATATTTTACCTTAAACAACCGGATATACCCTTACATAAGTAATTGTTTAATCACTAAGATTTTATGGATAATATTTTTTACTAAAGACAAATGTGTAACTTGATCCATAAAAAGTCAAATTGGACAATAATTTTGGGACAAAATTTTTTGGGCAAAGTGGACAATAATTATAGGACGGAAGGAGTACTACAATTCACGAAACGGAAAATTCCAGTAAATCATCCATCATTCACGTGGAGAAGTATCCTGGAGGGACGAAATGTTTTGCTTCTCGGATGTCGTAAGCAGATTTACTCTGGTCGTGACACGAAGATATGGATGGATCGTTGGCTGCCTTGTTCGCCTGACTTCCAATGCCATAGCTCCCCAATGATCATTCACCCTTGTTCGTCAGTAGCATCTTTAATTGATCCGGTCACAGGAGTGTGGAAGCTGAATGTATCCTTTCAATGGTGCCTGCAACCGGTTCAATCCCTGACAAATGGGTGTGGCATCCCATCCAGCAATGGTCGTTTCTCTGTCAAATCTGCTTACAATACAGTGATGGAGTCTTCAATTCACTCTGACGATCTTCATCCGGCTTCTAATTTATCGTCCGAAGATCTCCTGTTTTGGAAGAAGCTTTGGTCTCTCCAGTTGCTGAATCGTATCCTTCATTTTATATGGCGCTGTGCAACTGATTCTCTTCCAAGTTTGGAAAATTTGGCAAAACGGGGATGCTACCCAAACCAGGTTTGTCCTCTGTGTCAACGGGCAGAAGGTTCTACTCTTCACTTGTTCTTCTGGTGTGGATTTGCTTCACAGGTCTGGAACTTTGCTGGTATCCGTGACTGTATACTGTGATATCATCAACCACGGTGGGATCTCTGGGTCTAGAAAGTCGTGTTGAAATGTGATAAAGCTATAGCAGAACTCTTTGGAGTAATCTGTAATGCTCTCTGGTATGCAACAAATGACAGATTGTTTGGAAATTCACAAATTACTTCCTCTGCTCTAGCTTCCAACGCAGCCAGCACCCTGAAGGATTTCCAAGTACCTCCCCAATCTCCTTCACTCGCCCTTCGCTCCTGCCATCTAATTGCTCCTCCTGTTCTTCATAATTGTATCTATTTCGATGGAGCAATTTCCAGAGTTCGCAACTGTGCCGGATTGGGGTTATATGTCAAAAATGATTCGGGTAATTTTCTGCTGGCTAAGGGACGTCGTGTTCCTGGTATTTTTTCATCCGAAATTGCTAGATTCATGGCTTTAAAGGAAGCTCTTATCACTCTGAAAGATCTTAATCTCCCAAATACTACTATCATGGGAGATTCCTCGGTCGCGATCCTTGCAGCGATTGGAGAATCGGATTGCTCAGTTTCATGTTTGCCGATTCTTTGTGAGATTAGATCGTTACTGTCGGAGCTTTCTTTCTCTGCTTTGTTCTGGGTCCCTAGAATACAAAACGGCTTAGCTCACGCTATAGCCAGTCATGCTAAGTCCAAAGTAGAGTCGGTAAAAACTTGGTTGTCACCGTCGAGTTTTTTTGCATCAATCAGAGCTGGCTGATTTCCGACAAATTTAATGAACGTTGTCTTTCTTTAAAAAAAAAAGTATGTACCCAAGTCTCTAACAATTGGTCTTCCTAAATCATTTTTAAAGTTGTTGTTTTAAGTACTTTTCTAAGGATCCAATGGAAAACTAACAAAAATTTTATCCCAAACTACTACATTCCCCCAAAAAAAAACACTTGTAGAAAAGAGTGAATTATACTGCAAATTTTATTAATTTTACTCAAATTTACCTTAAAGTCAAAATTTAGCAAATTGCACCTTCACTTTTGGTTAAAATCTTCCATGACTTCTAATTTTTATTATTTTTTATGTACTTTTTTTATTCTAGCTATTTTTTATTATAAGCTATACTTATATTCATATTTTTCGTTTTCAAAATAATTATTTTAGAAAATAATTTATTTTCTTTTGTTCTGCCCTTTTTTGGTTTTTATTTGTTCAAGTACGTGGCACTTTTATGTATTTCTGATAATGCATAATGTTTTTATTTTGTTTTCATTCACCTAAAATGTAACTACAACTTATATAAAGAAAAATAGCTCAAATAAAAAAATTATGTACATTAAAAACAATATTTTTTAAAAACTAGAAGTATGGAGATTTTGACTAAGAGTCAAGATGCAATTTGCTAAAATTTTACCGAAAGGTTAATTTTAAAAAAATCAATAAAATTTTTGTGCAATTTGGTTTATCACATGAAGTTTGGGAGGCAAAATGTAACAGTTTGGGATAAAATTTCTTAATTTCTCACTTTTCCTTAGAAAAAAAAAATACTTAAAAACAACAAATTCAAATGTAAAGTGAACTTTTCCCTTCACAGAATATGGTGCGCAGTATTTTGTTGGACGAAGAGAATATACAAATCGAAACAATACTTTAAAAATTATATAAATTACTCCGTGGTAATAATTTAAATTGTGGTCAAATAAATAAAAAACAATCGCATTACATGTATTACATGAAAGATACTCCCTCCAGTCCTTATAATTATAAGACATTTTTGTTTCTTTTAAGTTTTAGTTGTGTTTTCCCAATTTGAAAATGAAGTCTTAAAAATATTTTATAATAATTAAAAAACATAATAAATTTGACATTATATTTTTAATATTTTATTTCAATTGAAAAAATACAATAAATAAAATTTAGAAAAAAAATTCAAATGTCCTATAATAAAGACTGGAGTATGGAGGGAGTATCTCATCAAGTCCGAAACCCAACTTGATATAGCAAGAAATTCCAAAACTATTACTGGTTGAAAATGTGTTGAAAGTGGGGGTACAAAGAGACTGAAACAACATTATCGAAAACTTGGAACAACAAAAATAAATAAAAATGCCAAGATTGAAAAATTTCATATAAAAAAGGAGATACGTCTCACGTTGAAACCGAAATTTTTGTTGAATGTCAACTCTCTAAAGAAAAACAAACAAACGAAAAAAGTAAACTGTTGAACTAAAAAAGATGGTACGATTATGCAAATAAAAGAAATTATTAAATTATAATATGCCACTTTTTACGATGCCATTTCTGCAAAAACTCAAAACATGTTAAAAAAAACCAAAGAAAATTTATAAATCTGGATCAGAATACTAGCAGTAGTTTCCACAGTTTCAAAATTACAAGGGGTAGTTAAAAAAAAATCTGGAAAAGAAAGTTTGATTTGACCCACATGAGGGTTAAATTGTTAATTAATTAGTGGAAGCTGAGGTAAGTTCCTACGTATCATATGCATAATCAATTACATCAACTAAACTACAGTGCCGCCATCGATCTTTTGTTCTTTGTCTCATTTTTGGAAACAATTTTTTTTATTTTTTTTATGCCACAGCCGCCAGGATTAATTATGTTCGAGAATCAGTTAAATGGATTACTGTATTTTTTTTTTCTTTGATAAACCAGTTAAAATGGAATATTCTCTTGAAAGGAAAAAAAAATAAAAAATTGAGCATGGTACCATTAAATCCTCGCCATTTTATGTCGATTTACTTTATCGGAAACCACGGAAAGAAATAGAATCTGCTCCGAAGGAAGCAATCAAAACTGTTCCCTCTTTCTTTTTTGTTGCCATTTTATGTCTTTCAAATATGAAGATTTTGGTACTGAGGCTTGGTATGTAATTGATCCTAATTTCAATCATTCCCAAGTAGTAACAATGAAGATTTGAAAATGCTGATGAATCCAAAATCTAATATTGAATTCAGGGCAGGTGTAGTTTAGTTCTTCATCACTTGTAACTTGTCAAATGGTCAACTCACCTAAAATCATTGAGAAAATTTGTAGTAGACAAGCAATATGCGATCATGGATGATGAATGTGGATAAATGATATCAGTAAACTTTGTTGTTATTCATTGTTATAGTAAGCTGACATATACTACTTCCCTCCAAAAAAATAATCCACATTGATTTTTTAAATTTGTACTAAAAACAGTACAAAATTCAAAGCTCAATGTGGATTATTTTTGTGGAATGGAACGAGTATACGTTAACAGTTACCAACTAACTTGTTTTGAGAAAATGTTTCTTCAATAAAATATTGTTGAGCAATGAGGAATTGAGGACTGCATAGACATCATCATTACATATCCACAATAATACTCTTGACTTTTTGGAGACTCTTTTTAACTAATTTTATAATCTTAGTATCAGCTATAAAAGGCCTCATCTAAGATTCATTAGAATCACTAAATACATCCTAAATATATTCCTAAGTCAGCTATGAGCTTTTGATCCAAAAGGGTTATAGTTTTCTTGTTTGTTTGAGTGGAAAAAAAAAAAAAAAAAACACCAACAACAACAACAACAACTACAACATGGATAGTTCTGATGCAATAAGACTGGGTAGTTTCAGGTTCAGTAACTCTAATGTTTGGACAAACACTTCAATGGAGGTGTTTTCGAAGTCTTCACGTGATGATCAGGACGATGAAGAAGCTTTGAAATGGGCTGCAATCGAAAGACTTCCAACGTATCTTCGCGTAAGAACTGGTGTTCTGATTCCAGGAGAAGATGGCCCTCCAAGAGAAGTTGATGTGAAACATCTTCGACCATCACAGAGGAAGCACATTTTGAACCGGGTTATACATGAAGGCGAAGGCAATGAGGAGTTCTTGTTGAAGCTTCAAC